CAGATTTCTCAATATCCAGATTCTAGGGCTATTGCTTACCTTGATACTCAAGACACGTTTTTATATATTATGTACAGATGACATCTAATATCTGTGCCTGGTGAGACACAGGGATATACAAGAACTGCTGCTTCTTGAGATTTGTATATCTGTGCTCATGAGACGTAGGACTGGCTTATCTGAGAACCATCAGCTTTGCAGAGAGTCTCTGTTACTATAACAAATCCAGGGGCCAGACCCACAGTCAGAGTTTAATGTATCTCTGTGCAAAAGTGCTAAGATTTTATGAAAACATTACTTTTCTGGGTTAATGCACTATATCAGTTTCCTCTAATGGCTCATTTGGGTTATGATTGACAGTTAATATATCTACAGACATAAATTAATGTTATCTGGAATTAATTAACTTACTGAGATATTACTAGCTATATAGGTCTCACTGCATGAGGTATGACAGAGGCTCTAAACATAAGTAGCATCCTCAGCTGTATATTTTCAGATTATTAAATGCAAAGCACCTGACATCTTGCTGAGAAGCTAGAGAACATCTATTCCAGTAGCAAAGGGGATGCCAAGATCTCATTGCCAACCTAACTTACCATGGAAACTTCTACTGATAGTTACATGCAAGGAAAAAAAAGCATTTCCTGCTCACAGAGGTCAGGATAAAAAAGGCAGAGTTGGCAAGTAGATAAAAATGGGGAATGTACTTAATTTGAAATCAGTTAGGAATAGAAACATGAAAGTGAACTAGGCCAATCTACCAGCTAATTTTCAAGAACTCCAACAAAAGTGAATTCTTGAAAGGTGAAGCAACTGATTTTTTCACTATCAGTTCTCTCATTAGCCTTGATTCTTCCGGGTACAACCTTTTTTGGATCAACAAATTAGAGAAAGGTCTTCCTTTTCAAAGTTTTTGCCTGGCATGCTTTATTATCATCTTTTCATCAAGAACTAAATACTGAAAGCTCAAGTCTTTATTTCCCCTTAAACCAAAGTTACAGGTCTCTGAGATTATTGTCCTGTCTTTCTCAAGTGAAGTTCTTCAGATATTAAACTGAAATTATATTAAATGAGAGCTTTGTTTTTCTCTGTTAGGCATCATATGCATGTGAGTGACAATCCCCACAAATACATATCTGACACATTAGCTGCTTTGTTCAAGAGGAATTCAGAAAACTGTCTCCCTTTACAGATTCATTCCTAATTTCACCCATATAACAACTTTTGAAACCTGATTATTTTCCTGCCTTTAGGATCTTTGTGCCCATGTGTAATATTCTGTTGGTGAAAAAAAGAAAACCCAGCAGCTCAGTGTACTTTTGATTTTTCTTGTGGCACATTTCAGCTAATGTTTTGTTTGAAGATATTTCTAATTGCTGATTTGTTTATATGTAAGTGTTCATTTCAAATATGTGAGACAATTTTAGATTTGCTTCCTTGATAGAATTCCAGCCTACTTTCTGTTTTCATGAGAGACTGAATTAGATTCCAGGGTGTTATCCCGTCATCTGTGGATTAGAATTACTAATCATGTAGAATTAATTTATTTCCATTGTGACATTACAATTTTTAAACTGTCCCATAAAACTGGAGGCAGTTTCCTGTCCTAAAGAAATTTCAACTTAAGTATAGAATAAGAGATGAATACTGCAGAGACATGATCCTGTGGTACTGAGGAAGGATGCTACACCTGGTGGTAGGGGGCAGTCACTTGCAGCATATATCCAAACATTATAAATGTTTTCTTGGACATTAGAGTGATAGTGGTTTTGCAGGCTTTTATTGAGTGGTACATCTCAACGTGTTCACTGAAAAATTGGACAAGTGGGCTCAGATTGAGATTTGCTTGAAAAGCAATGGGAGCCATTTTTCTTGCTCATAGTATCAGAGTAAAAATGGGTGAGAAGACAAGTGGAAAGACTTTCAAAGTGGAGCTAAGTAGTTTTGCTCTAATTCCTTCTTCAAGACTACCGCATTGGGATTTCTCCCAATGTAAGTTCTACTCCTGTGCTGGTGAAAGTTACCATTGTGGCAACTCCATTATTGTTTGTTCAGTCAATTTTTGCCCTCAATATTTAGGAAGTGGCACTTGGTTAATGCACTTTATATATTTAAGGAGTTCAGAAGAAAGCTGCTTATTTTATAATGGCTGTAAAGAGAGTCAGATATACAGTTCCCTGAACTGTTTGTTGGTTTAATAGGTGAAGGGAGTAAGAAAAATAACATAAGATCATAGGTAGACAAATAAAATCAGAATGTGCAAAACGTGTAGTACCCTGTGTCAACTCCTAATACCAAGGTGGTGTGTTCAATCCCCACACAGACCACTCACTTAAGAGTTGAACTTGAGGATTCTTGTGTGTCCTTGTCAACTCTTTCTGCAGTCTGTGACCTGTGATTATATCTGCAAAATAAATATGGTATGCTCTATGTTCATTACAGTATCTCCAGACCCTTCTGGGAATAGAGTGGTTTCTTTTTTATTTGGCCTGTACAATCAAGATTTCTGTTAGGAATCCTGGAATTGTTCGGCTGATTTATGAAAGTAATGTTTGGGACAGTAGCAAAATACACTTTTCCAAATTTATTTAAATGCCTTCTGTGTCCTAAGGATGTTTTTTCTGTGTGAGTTTTCTTAAAGAGAAATGATAGCAATTTCCTAGACAAACCTGAATTTACTAATTTATAGTATGGTTATTTTCGAATAAAGGTTTTAATTAAGTGAAGAGTCACAAGTCTAAAATATTTTTTACATATTAATTGAAACCAAAAGCCTTAACATTTAGGGGCTTGAATCACAAATACCATGAATGTAGAGCTTATAATTGAGACTCATGCATGGAATTATTGTTTGCTTACAGTAAAAATTGCTGTGATATATGCAAGTCAAATTAAAATTACCGTGATATTTTTGTGGTGGGGTTTATTTCCTCTGTCTTGTCTACAGATTTCCTGCAGATTGCTTTCTATTCTCATTGTAGTTCCTGCCTCTGACATTGACATATGTCAGTGAAACATAAAGCAGCACACAGTCCCAGAGCTGAGACCTTCTCCATCCACATGACTCTCAAGCAGAGACCTGTGAGCAGTTACTCAAAGTAGCCTCACAAATAGCAGTGCCTGGAGGCGTGTATTTAAGTGGCTTTTTTATCCCAGTGGGCGTAAGGCATAGGAATTTTTGAGAAGGACCAACCTGGAAAAATTTCCAAAGAACTGCAAGTGTTTCCTCGTTAAGAAGTTCCCTCTGTACAACATGGATTAGGTGCAGTTTTAAAACTGGTTTACTTGCCTGAGCCTAAAATTATGCTAGATCAGAAAGAGTATGTGAGGAAAATAAGCTCACAATGGGGAGCAAAAGTCTCTTCAGCCATCCATATATGTTCCTCTTGCCTGGATCCCTTGGAATATGCTATCCTGAGGGAATAGTTAATTGACTTTCCAAAGTAGAGGGCCTGCTAGTGTTCCCCCTGTGCAGTTTACCCCTTAAGCCTCTACACTAAATAGGAGGATAAAGGAGTAGGGTATGCACCTTTCAGTGGGAAGTGTGGTGGTGGCTTGCTGGGACACAGTACTGAGTTCTGGTTGTTTAATTACAAGGTGGTGGGAGGAAGGAAGTGGTAGGAAGGAAACTTCCAGCTTCTGCCAAAAGAAACAAATGATAATCATAAGTAGGAACAGGACATAATCCAGGATATATTATTCTATTTTCACAGTATCCACTGTGCAAGCATACTTAGTGCTTAGCTTACAATATGCAGTAATTTTTAAGCATGGGTTTTTCCAGTTTTTTTAATCTTTTCAACAGTCCACAAGTTTGAAATGGGATGCTCTTTTTAGGATTAGCATCTGGACAATAATCTTGTTTCCCTATCTCAATCCATTTTAGAGTTAAATGTGTCTTGTTAAACATACCAACAGTTACCTATCCTTGTGCTTTGGCTAGCTCTACTAAAAAAGCTTTTCTACTCAAGGATTTGAGTTGCAGAGAACTGCTGCTGTTCCTGCCCTGGGCATGGAGAAACAGCAGGAGTACTTTGCAAGTGTGACGCTGCTACCACATAGGAGGAGAATACAGGGAGGCATGCATCCTACACAGAAGAAAATGAAAGGGAGTCAAAATAAGTTTAACATTTCTTCTGACTTAAATAAAGGCACAGTTTTTCCTTACGTGTCTATGTGCTCTTAGAGCATCATCAAAGGAAAGACACAGGATTCAAAGTAATTGAGAGAATCAAAGTTGTGTTAGCAAAAAAAAATTGAAAGATAATGAAATATGTTTTTCTTCTCAGAATCAGATGACCATATGTTTATAAAAAGATCTGAAGCACATCCATATTTAAACATTTTTCAGACTGTACCTGACTGTCCCAGCACATAGCCACTGGCTACCTAAACTCCATCTGTGTGCTTTGCCTGCCAATAACCCAGTGTTAAAGCAAGTAGTTTGAAGAGAGGAAGATTAAGCAAGCTTTTACCCGCCTGTCTCTGACAGTGGTATTAGTATCTTCATGTCTTGAACATAATTTAAAGACAATGAAAACTTCATCATCTCTACTCTTGCTTTCAAAAGGGCATCAAAATAAACCCTGTATTTCTACCTCAGAAAAATGGAATGTCACAAATGTTTGAAGTATGCAGGAAAGGACAATCCAGATTATTGTTTAGGACCCCTAATGAGTGTAACTAGTAATAATAATTATAAAATTAACCAGTACAAACAAAAAAAAATTAAAAAGGAATATGAGAAAAAACTTACTAGTAGTGAGACATTTTAAAATGTTGAAGGGTTTTGTGGGATGTGGAAGAAACTAGATGATGTGAAGCATTTAAAATTTGCCAAATGAAAGCATTCAGAAAGAGACATACAATACATAGCATTTTTGTATTGTTGGAGTTCAACTGGTTATCTACTCTTTATTTCTAAAAATCTCGTTTTGAGAAAAAAGAAATTAAGTACGATTATATAACCAAAATATCTGTCTTGTTTTCTCTTTCAGCACAAATTGAAGTGATACCATGCAAAATTTGTGGTGATAAATCTTCTGGAATACACTATGGAGTCATCACATGTGAAGGCTGCAAGGTACAAGATTTTAATACAGCATAGTCATCATCATTTGCATTAGCCTCAAGCACTTCTGTACAATGGTACACTCTTACAAGCTTTTAAACAAGTGGTGCCAAAGGCTGTAAAGCCTACTGATGATAAAGATGTATTTCATGGCTAATTTTCCTAGTTGCTTTCCATTTTATCAAATAGTCTTTAGAACTACCTCCTTGTTTGAAACATGAGTTAATTACATCTGGTGCAGTGTTAAGTGCTGACACCAGCAGAGGCAGGCAACTGTAAGTCACACCTGTTCTACCTTAAATCAGCTTTGAAAGAGGTGGATTTCTTATTTTGTTTCCTATAGAACCCATGTAGCATTACAGTTGGCATGTTACTTCTGGTCAGCCTTTTTTAAGAGCTTACAGGTGTGACCTGGGTCCTTTTTTATCTCCTTTTGCACAATCTGCAGACCAAATTGTAATCTCAAAATGAAAGAATGCCTTACATTATGAGCCGTATAAAAGGATTCTTTGTCTTCTTCTTTAAAGGCATTAGTGCAGTGCAGAATGGAATTGCAGTTGCTGGGAATTGGAGGTTAAAAAAAGGGTGGAGGGGATGAAATGCATAGACCTGCTGCTTAGATATATCAACATATTATTTCAGACATTAGTTCAAACAACACAAATCAGACTTAAGGAGAGAAAAGGCTGCAATTTTCAATTTTAAAAATTGTCTGTGATTTTATTATCTAAGGAATTACATTATTACTCATGACAAACGAGTTTTATACTACATGTTGGTATTTCAGTTTTAATTTTAAATAGGAAATTGCAAAGATTTCAGCGTCTCTGATTTTTTGTACTTGGAAACACGCAAACTAGGATGTTTGCAAATGAGTGCCTATTTGCAGTGTGAAATCACAAGTCTGTACCTAATGCTTTACAAAGTATTAGAACAGCTGAAAAATCTGAAAATTTGCATGCACCCATTTGCAAAAGAAATACTTTAATGCCAGTACATTGAGAACTAATATACTGGTGTGTTTAGTAAAGATCAAGGGTTTATTTCAGGAACATTAACAATTGTAAGCATAACAATTTGCAGTGTGTCTTACTGTGGCACTGGACTAAAATAAGCATCTTCTTGTGACAATCACATGAAACAGGATTAAACTAATTGATCTGATAATTCAAAATCGGCACAAAAGCTATGGAAGGAAATTACTTTAAGCAGAAAAAGAGCATCTTCTCTCAATACTCAGAGCCCACAGACTGTCTAGGGGTATAGTCTTCTGTAAAAGTAATTAGGGTTAATGTGGGCCCTTGCATGTACCTCAAGAGGAGATGATACCACTGTGCTGAGTACTCACTGCGTGAGTAGACTGCTTATTGAGATAAAGAGATTCTCTTCCACTTATAAGTTTTAACCCCATTGTATTTGTGCCAGTTTTGCTGTATCAGATCAATTTGTCTAATCTTGTTTTGTGAGCCTGTGTGAAAAAAAGGTGTGGGTTTTTCATGTCAGTTCCACTGGGAGGCATCCCAGTCTGTCAGAGCTCCCTGTTAAGGTAAGCACTGTTTCTGGCAGTGCAGCTCTGCTATCTGTTTAAGTGCCCAGCATTTAAACAGCTATTCACTCTGCCTGCATACTCATTATTTCTGGCTCTTTTTGTCTCAGTTTGTTAGAAATCTGAAATGATTAAGAATAGAGGCCATGAGTGGAAGAAAGAGGATGGAATCACCCCACAAGCATGCACACATGTTGAACCAGGCACCAGGCAGCCACAGCATTTCAGGATACTGCATCCAAGAATTACAGTGCCAGTGGCAGTGCTGCAAACTTCAGGGAACAGAAAATCCTTTAACTCAGTGTTGCTACATTAGCTATGCTGTGGCAGTTCCATATTCTAAGTGCTTAAGGGTCATCTGAAATACTGCTGTTGGTTTGTATGCATGCCTGCCTTATGCTGAATGTGCATATGCAGTGAACCTGCTGCACCCACTGAGTTTGCAGCTCTGACACTATTCTTAAAGAAGGGGTGAAACCTGAAGATAAGTTTGCATCACATCTATCTCTGCAGCTACTTCTTCACTAAGAAGCCTTATATCATTTCTTGTGCCTTCCCCCAAAGCAAAGTACTTTCCACCACTGTTTTGTCATGAATTAAAAAGTAGCTCATTCAGCAATTTCCTTTTTCAGACTGGCTGTGGGTAGTGGGTGAAGTGATCTGTTCAAAAACTTGTTGTCCATGTTGGAAGTACTGGGAAATCTGTCCTTAACTCTTTATCTCCTCAGTTATGAAATACATCTTCCTTCATAGAAAATTGAATTATTCTGATGTAAACAATGTAGCCAAATCTGTATAAAGATACAACAAAAATAAAATGAAAGGATTATCTCTATATTATAAGACAACATATAGATCTTATGCAGGAGTATGAGAACATAAAATTCTCCTCAGAAAAATTAATTGCCCGCTCTAAATTAATTCTCTTATGTAACCCTTGATACATAATATGATCCTTTTTTCCTAAGGAGGGCAAAGATGAAACAAATTCCTCTGAGATTAAATCAGCCTTAAAGGGAACAAAAAGTTATGCAGGAGAAAGTACTGTCAATGCTAAATGGTTGAGTGCGTTTTTTTAATATTACTGAATTAATTTTTTCTCTGAAATCTATAGATGCTGCTAAAATCTAAAACTGAAAACAGACAAGCCTTCATAAATCAAAAGCAAGACTGACTATAAAGTTCAGCAAAGACATCTGCAATTAGCATCCATTTAGTCTTAAATTAAAGGCAGTTCTACGATATCAGGAAAGTTTTGGTCATCTAAGATCAGTTAAGTTTCCACCGAATTTTTCTGAGAGTTCTCCCAAAGAACATCTATTTTCTGAAAAGTATGAGTCATAAAATGTATTTCATATTTTAGATACAGTGTAATCACTGATAGAGCAAACTCAACCCAGTACAAGTGGTTCTCTATGCTCAACTTCAAGAACTAGCACTGGCAGTGTCTTTGGTGGAACACCATGCCTGTCACTGTTACTGACACACACACCACCCTCATTCAGCTTGTCAGGACCTGAGAGAGAATTCATGGGTAAGCTGTAGCAAGTGAGCTGAGGCCTGTAGCACTGTCATCTTGTGGCTTTGTCCATTGCTCAGTATTAACATCCATCAACCTATGCAGAAATACGCTATTTTTTTTCCTGATAAATGAAGTCAGCTGTTGCTTTGTGGCTTTATTCCAAGGTGTTTGCAAGCCACCCCAGAAAGACATGAGCACTTTGGTGTCACTTCTGGTGACTGGTGTAATTGCAGTAATGGTATTTCTGCTGTTTTACTACTCATAGCCAGGCTATCCTTCAGCTTTCCCACCACAACATGGACTGCTTGCATTTAAAGTTCCCAGACAGGTTAGGGGAGTTCTCTACATTTTTATCCCCTCTGGACTTGTAGATACTCCTGACCTATTTATTTATTTATTTATTTATTTATTTATTTATTTATTTAATATAGATAATTTATTTTCATTTCTCTTCACCCTCTGATTTCATTCCTCATGTCAGCTCAGCTACTTCATGTCACTTCTACCATAACAGTAGAAGCACTTTCACTGCTGCTCTTGGTGTCACCTCATAGTAGCTGGAAGTTCCTAAGGTCTTAGGTGTGTATACTTCCCCTCTAGCCCGCAGATCTCTAGACAAACAGCCCATGGAAAATGCCATTATATTCTTATGGTAGTACCTAAAGGTGTTGCTTTCTCCTTTGTGTGTTGGCTTTACTTGATACAGTCATTATATCCTAGTGCTTTTGTGAAGGCTGAATTTTAATTACTTCACTCCTGAATCATATACCTCTCCAGATCAAATCAACATTTGCCAAGGTAAAGTGAACAGTAGGCTTCAGCTTCTCATGCTATGTGTACCCAGTAACAATTACCTCTACATTTACAGTTAGTCTCTTCATTAAAGGGAGAAATGTCAAAACAAGTACTTTGAAGTCATCTTAAAAATCCTGACAAGTTTTTCCTCTATTAGGAGCAAGTATTAAATGATACACGGTGTTTATTGCACTGTAAAAATGCATTCTGTAACATAATTTAGGTTTTAACAAAGCAGAATTATATTCTTTACAGAATAATACACAGCTCTCCTTATTATAATTAAATGTTCTTTACAATACCACCATACCTGCAAAGTCACAACATAAGTAGCAATGCACTAAACAGGGGTTTGCTGTAGTTGTTTGCATGCTTCTCTGTGTATGAGTGTGAGTCTGCGTGCATGCTCATGCACATAAATACACTTGTGGTAATACTTGGTCTTTCCTGTTCTCTTGCCCCAAGGGATTCTTTCGGAGGAGTCAGCAGAACAATGCATCCTATTCCTGTCCAAGACAGAGAAACTGTTTAATTGACAGAACCAACAGAAATCGTTGCCAACACTGCCGACTGCAGAAATGTCTTGCCCTGGGAATGTCTCGAGATGGTAAGGAGTCAAATCCATGTTTCACATCTAAGCCCTTTGAAACTTTTTTTCACTGCTGACTTATTTAAACTCCCTGTAGATTTCTGCAAAAAGACAGAGGAGAAGCTCCGTGCTTTGTAATGTGTGTGCTGTGAGACGATCTTTGCCATCTGGTTAACAAAGAAAGCTATTTTCACGGACAGGGGTGGGGAAAATCACAAAGTGGAGAGCTGTATCAGTTTATAGCAAAAAGAGCCAGAAGTGAAATATGTTATTCTAATCAAAAGCAAGAGCACAAAAAGGTCACGTCTGGAAAGGTGGGTTTATATTAAATATTACATTAAACTTCAGCATTTATCTTAACATCTAATAATGATGTGTGAAAGCATCCATTTCCCTGAGATCTCTAAATGACTGATAGTAAGGAGGCACAACCCTACACAAATTTACACCTGGATATCATTAGGGGTTTCTGTTTGTTCTTTTCAGTGCTCTTGACCAAATATTTTGCATTGGAAGAAACCCCATTTCTTTTGCTTGCACATTGCCTCCTGTCCCTATGTGGGTCTGTAGAAGAATGTTTCCTAATCTAGCACTGAAAGTGTATCCTGTGCCAGAGAACAGCTCCACAGTCTGTGTCATCTCAGGATCCTGTGCTCCTTGTAGAGCTCTGGCCCACCTTCCAGACTGTGGTGTGATCAGCTAATATCAGCAGGCGGAGAACATGCATCACACCAAAGCTGCAGGCAATAGGAGGCTTAGCCAAGATTGCCCACAGCTCACATGCCCTGGGCACCACTCCTCGTGCAGGGGGTTTCCAGCTCAAAAACATGCTTTATACAGAAAGTATTAGAGGAAAATGTTCTAATTTTTTAAGCTAATGTTCTAAGTTTATATTAATTTCATTTTCCTGGAAGCAATTTTCTCTCTTAAAAGGTTGACACAAAATGTGTATTTTTAAATTGAATTATTGATGGAGAAGTTATGTAAAGAGCTATTTATTTAGACGGTCCAAAGACTATAAACTTGTTCAAAATTTGGACCATAATAGGTCTTCTTCTACTTCAGTGTGTCTTATGTCTCACTGAAGTTACTAATTTACCAGTCTCACCTGGGAAGAGCCTTTAATCCATTAATTACTTGATACCTTAGCTCCGTGGTGATTAAAGAAGTAACATTTCAACAATTTAACAGCACAGGCTTTCCTCTTGACAGTAGTATCTTCCAATGATTTAAGGTAAATCACAGGGTCATTTTAATGTGACTGACAGTGCCATCTTACCAATCAGTAATTCAGAGACTACTGAAGAGAGAAAAAATGAGTGATTCTTCCACAGCATCACTTTGTTCTCTCATAGTTGATGTAAGGGTCTTTATGATTGTTTAGGATTAAGTATGTTAAGAGCTCTTGCAAATTTAAAATTGGCTGTGTGAATATTTTGACAGAAAACATTGATTTTTACCTCTCAGCCATGTAATAAATGCATTTTTATCATGAAGAGGCAGGATGCTAATTGACAGCAGCTGGAGAATCCAATTAATGAATATAAAATGAGGATAAACATTGATTTTATTGCTGAGGGCCTAAATTTGAAGAAAATACACAGTTGCATTATTCAAAATTATTTAAAATACAGTCATTTTATATTGTCCATAAGGGTATGCAGCATACCATGCACTGATTCCAGGGGCAGGCTGAGTTCCTGTGAGGTAGCTTGTAGCCTGGGTGTAGGGCTGCAACTAAACAGAGGTTGGCAATAAGAAAAAAACCCTCTTGAGTTAAAAAAAAAAAAGTGAAAATAAATCAAAGCAGCTGTCACCTTGTTGTTCTGGCTCTGTATTTTCATCTTGTGCTCTACTTTTTCTGTTCTTTTTTCCTGGTTGAAGAATTTCGCATTTATCCACACATAGGTTCAAACTCTTCTCAAGGGCTAAATGAGAGTCATGTGCTAATAAATATGATTCTGAATTGATCCAAATTTCAGATGGACTGGAAATACACAATATAGAAAATACACCTCATAATACGTAGAAGTCTGTATTTCTGGAGCTATGTCCCCTTACCTGTTCTGATTAATTCTGCTGAATGTATCTCTCATTTGTTTTGGAGCACAGTCAACAACTGTCTCTGCTCTAAGATCCCAAGAGTTACCCCAGTAAAAGACCAGAATTTATAGAGAGGTGGGGGTGGAGAGTGATAATCAGCTGTGATCTACTGTATATACAGGCTGTGAATTTACTCCTCCTAGTTCCACAGCAATCAGCCTGTCACCTTTGAAAATTTCAATCTTGCTGTGATGAACCCTGTTTGAATGAACCTTGGGAAAATGGTTTGTCCTCTTATACTTTTCAGTTTCTCATCAGAAGGAGTGCATGGATTTGTGCATGAAGATTATTGAAATGGAGATTGCATAAATCCCTAAGATTTTGCTCAGTGGAAAAGATGACATTCATTTGTGCTGTTTACCTTCAAATCTGTTATTTTCCTCTAGGTTCTAACCTGTAAGATTTTAATTTTTTAAGCAGGAAGATAACACCCCATTGAAAGGATGTGATAATAAGTCTTTAGGGCTTGTTTTCACCCTGAATACTAATCTTGTTAGTGTACTGTGTAATGGTTTGTGGAAAATTAGTAAATGGATATGAATTCACAGACTGTACATTTCATACAGCTCTGGGTGGTTGTTAAGTGAACACAGAGATATAAAAGGACACATGGTCTTTTTAACATTCATAGTGGGAAGTTAATTTTTTGACTGAGGCCCTCCTGTCAAATAGGAGTTGTTGTCATCTGGTAAATTCAAGTACGCAGTATTTTTTCCTTTATGAGATGTATGTGATGTAAAGCTTTTCATCCTTTCTCATTTCCACAGGAAAAGGTGTTTCCACAGCAGAATTAACCCTGAAAGTTAATACCAGAAGAGTGGTGGGGTTGAAGGGACTCAAGAGAAATTTAAAGACAGCAATGGTTCACACTATGCTTTGCTTTTCAGCTGTGAAATTTGGAAGAATGTCCAAAAAGCAGAGGGATAGTTTGTATGCTGAAGTGCAGAAGCACCAGCAGCGACTGCAGGAGCAGCGGCAGCAGCAGAGTGGTGAGGCAGAAGCTCTCGCCAGGGTTTACAGCAGCAGCATCAGCAATGGCTTGAACAATCTGAATAACGAAACTGGCAGCACCTACTCCAACGGGCACGTCATCGACTTGCCAAAGTCTGAGGGCTATTACAACGTGGATTCTGCCCAGCCCTCCCCAGACCAGTCTGGGTTAGACATGACTGGAATCAAACAGATAAAGCAGGAACCTATCTATGACCTCACCTCTGTACCAAACTTGTTTACCTATAGCTCTTTCAACAGTGGGCAATTAGCTCCAGGGATATCCATGAGCGAAATCGGTAAGGAAAACTCTTACTCCTGTAGCGCAATGTGTATGTATAAGCTTAGCTTTATGCTTTGAGGGATTTTTGTAACAGAAGTGGAATATTGATGAGGGCTGTGCCTAATGGGGAGCTACCTGATTTTGTACAACTTTTCTTCATCATAAAGCTCTGAGAGTTACATGAGAAATTTGTGACTGTATCTGAAAATGCTTTTTGCTACACTTAACCCTCTCTTCCATAGGAGGCATTCCCTGTCCTGCTTCTAATAGGTATCAGGTAATGTGCAGTTGTATCTAGGCCTACTTAACTTATTTTGAGAAATATAATAATACCAAGTACGTGTGACAGAGCCCTATATAAATTTAATCTGTCAGCATGTCTTTCTCCTACACCTATTTGCTAGACAGTAGACAGATACCAGTAAGCATGCAATACAAAATAAGCTATATTTTCCTTGCCATTCCATTCTAATACTACGTGTCAAAACAGTTGCTATGTAAAAAATTTTGCATTTCAAAACTGTTAAATTGAACAATTTTCATTTCCACTACAAAGTCTTCTGTAGATTAATGTATGTTCGTGAAAAAGAGCACTCACATTCAAATTAAAGCATGGAACTGTTGAAGATCAAAGTAGCTCTAACCATTCAGATTACTTTTTGGTGGAACTAGAAAATTAACATGTGAAGAAGAGCATGTAAATGATGTATAAATTATGTCATAGAGTATCTTAGAAAATATTATTTTTTATAACTGAATCAAACTGACAGGGAAAGGAAGACTTGTGACTTGGATTTTACAGAGAACTTTGTGTTGGATAGCAAGGCAAATATAAACACTAAAGTAATATATGCAATTGCAGCAAGTATTTTAGTCAGGTGCAGGGACTGTTATTAGGATTTGTTTTGCAAGCAGTTAACATTTTCATAATAATCTGAAAGAGGAGTTTCATAGCATGCTAATTAAGTTAAGAGACAATTCTGAACTGAAGGAAGTCACAAAGCATCAGTGAAGACTGAGACATAATATGACAGGATTGAAAGAATTAGAAAAATAAGAAAGAGAAAATGAGATTCAAACTTGGAAATGTACAGTCAACTATATCCTAATTTAAAAGTGCCCTACACAGGATAGAAGGGAGTTTGAAACAAACAAAGCATTAACACCAAAGGAGTCAGTGAATTAGATTTTGGTTGACATATAATGCAGAAACTGCATAGACTATTTTTGTTCTGAGTGCTTGTGAAGAAGTCTGCTCCTTGGAGAGCTTACAGAAATTTCCAGGAACTCAAGGATGAAAGAAGTTCCCACACATTCATTCATGAGGAAAAAGAAAATACAATGGTTGCAGTCAAGATCAGGCAAGTGGCAGTTGAGATTGTGCTTATATACATACATTTATTTGAAGAGTGTAAGCATCAGAAAAAAACTAAGACTGGAAATTTCTACCTGGTAGAAAATCATCAGTGCAGAAAAGAACTATCATTATCTGGGATACTTAGTGTTTTTCTAGATCACTAGACATGGTGGTACAAAGAAATTTCTATCAGCCACAAGGATCAATGCAGCATAGCTTTTCTATCTCTTACATATTCTTCATGATTTCATCTCACAGTTAAAAGCAGTAAAATCTATTTAGCATAAGTTGAGTTTATTCCTGAATGTCACTGTAGTGAGATGCAATCCTGCAGTGAAACTTAAGCACACTATAATATGTAATCAGCACATCCCAGAACTGCAAGACTGCAGCTCTACAGATGGTCCAACAATCCGCTGCAGCATTAAGAGACATTTTCTACTTCTTTTTAAACACTGAAAATATCATTTGCCTGTGCACATCCAAATATTTTATGGTGCATCTCTTCCAGTTGTCAGCTGATTTGTTATACTACATTATCTCTCACTGTCTCCCTTACTGCTCTGCCGTAGGTGCCACAAATGACAGACAGCAGTACTTGTGTAAAATCACAGCAATTTAGGAACTGTAGTTTCAATTTCAAAAGGAAAAGAGGTAAATCCAAGAGCTTCTGCATTTTGCTGTCAGCTCAGAGACAGGCCATTTGCTATGTAGTGCTCCCTCTGGTCTGGTTTTTCCCTGCTTTGTGTGCTTCAGAAGAGGATGAAAAACTTGGAAATGTGGGGTGGATTTAGGGCGGATGTTTTAGAGCTAGGAGAGGAAAAAATGGGTGAAAAACTAAGAATGTTGCATTATTTCTAAGTGAACCTGCAAGAGATAAAAGCTATCTTGATTTAAGTTAAAAAGATAAAACTTTGATTGTCTGAAGTCAAAAGGTCCCATTGACTTCAGGGGGATTCTCTGGCCACTAAGGATATAGTGACCTATGGCAATATTTTGTCTTTGCACTCATTCTGTAACTGAGCACAAATCCAAACTCATGGACTATCAGAACTCCTGCAGTTCTGGACCTCCGCTGCGTCTCTCTGGAAACACTTCCCTTTGGTACTGGGTCTGCAGGGAAACAGCTCTTAAGGACTGTTCAAATTGCCTCTCAGCTGGTTTGCAGCAGTGTAATCCACTGTTGCAGGACTGAGGTACGCACAAGCCACATGTGAGTAATATTCATATGGCCATGAGAGCTGAGGGAACAAATGTTCATCTCCCATTCTACACTGTGGGTGTACAGTTTTACTGGACAGTGGCCTAGGCCAAATGTGATAATAAAACAGGTCTTAATAAACAGAGTACCAGATAAGTTTTAACTTTCTCCTGGACAATTTGCAGCTAAAGCACACAACGTGTTATAAAGCTCCCTACAAATAATCATGCAAGGCCAGAAAACATGCTATCAATTTTAGTTGCAACTTCATTTTTCTACCAGACAGTAACTACTATATAACCCACTACTGTAATCTATACTGAGAGGAGGCCACATCTCCAGTCCTCAGTAGGTCTGAGCACAAGCACACATTTACAGATCTCAGTGTACATCCATGTACACAAGACAGCAAAGTTAGGCCAGAACTGTAGGGTTTTTTCCATTATTTGAAATGAATGAATTTGTTAAGAGTGCTCTTGAAGATGACTTTTTACCACCCTTTTTTTTAAAATGAAATTCCATTATCAAAGTGTTACCCTTTGATTAAGTTCTCAGCCACAAATGATTCAGCATATTTCACTTCTTCAGGTACTTAATTAGGATGCCAATCTTTGTTCATGTTATTTCTTTGTAATAGAAGTAGTACTTCCAGTGGCTTTGGTAAAATACAACTAGAAGCACTAGATGAACAGAAATCCTCCTTAGACAAAAATCACCATTAGTCATTAAGTTTGTAACAGCCTCATCTCACAGAGAGGTCTCTGTCAGATGTCAAAGACGAAAGCAGGGGACAGGCTCTCCAAGGCCTTCAGGCAGAGAAGCAGGAATATACATTCACAGTTTGTGCACCTTATGAATTTAGTGAGCTTGCTCACATCTGTGCAGCTGAAGTAGGAACTGGTACTTTTCACAGTAAGTACCCTAGAATTATCTGCTGTGGGAATTCTGGGTGTTGACAAGAATACGGATGGTTGGCTGAAGAGATCATTTAACCCTGCCAGTAATGAGCTCATTTGAAACAAGCCCCTTCCTAATTATCACTTGGTTATGATTGATGCATCACCTGCTTTGATGCTCCTATTTAATAAACAGAAATGAACTACTGGGTTTAAGAACTGCATAATTTTTAGTAAAAACAGAGCTGCCTTAATGTTATGCCAATTAGTTCCAGACTTATTTTCTTTCCCATACTCTCCGTGTGTGTGTGCACACACATGTGTGAACACGTAACTTGTGTATGGAATGCCTGTGTGACATTCTAATGAAGACGGTACTGAAGCTTAGCTTATATATGCTTATATATAAGCTTATATGCTTACCTTATATGCTTATCACTCCAAACCTCGTAAATGAGGAGTTGAGGAGCAGAACCTCAACTTGTCATCAAGTGCATTTCCAGTTCAGAGCCCTTTTCTTTAAAGGGGTGTGTTTTTCTCCTTAACTCAAAGCATCTTGTTGGACACTTGATACAGATTTGGGTGGGCAGAACACAAAATAGGTGAGGTGACCATCTGGCAGCGACCAGGTGAGTTAAGCAGGCCCTGTCACTGCCTGCCCTTCTGTTCATGGGTGGCATGATCGAGGTGTGTTCCATCAGCCACTGATGCTGCCAGTGTGGGAGACACCCACATCCCAAGGACTCATGCTGCCAGGGACTTGGCAGCATCATCCTCTTTCTCCATGACCAGTGTGCCATCTACACATCTGGGGAGGCAGAAATGATGCAGTGGGAGCTCAAACCATAGGGTGAAATCTGCTTGCCATGTCAAAAGCGAGAATTTGGTCATTTGTAGAATGGCTTTCTCCTCACACAGCAAATCACAGAGGTCAGCTGGTGGGTGGAAAATTCTGAAGTGAGAAGGGAGCTCCAGTTCCTGATGGCAGTGCTTGCTCCCAAGTGTGGTTTTAAATTAGGAAGCATTAAAGGCTTATTTTCAGACTTGGTGAAATTAAAAGACTATCTTGTTTAAATATATGTGCATAATATTATCTGCCACTGAGCTGAATATTGCATTTTCCTCCCTAAATATGTGCCTCCAATCTTGGTCTGTAAAAGTTAATGGAAAAGTTTCCCTGTATTAACTGCAGTTCAGATTGCCAGCCTATGATTTCTTAAGGACAAGATGAAATTATTAGCCAACTAATGGAGAAAACCGATTGGTTAAGCATTCACTGCAAGCCAAACTTAAGGGTGCCGTGTAGCTGTGTATATGTAAGTAGTCAGTAAGACACCTCTAGAGTGTACAGGAGATCACATAGTAGACCAGCCTCTATAATTATAGATGAAAGTGTTGTTTACATATATTTACATGACATTTCTTCAACATCAGGCTTTTTTGTACCCAATGGCTTGGAGAGCTTACATGTCTACCAAAATTAAAGTAAGGCTGGTGAGCTTTGGTTTAACCTTCCCTTTCCCCAATCCTTCTAAGTCTGCCCTGCCATGTGTATCTTAGGG